TGCTGGTTATTTAAAATACTGGTGGCATAGCCCTCAAAATCACAGCAACTCAAGCCACCACAGCATGACAGACAGACGAGTGGTGGCTGCGTGGTTTTTATGTGGAAACTGTCGCTTTAAATTTCTATATCAATCCTGATATAATCCTGTTACAATCAAAATATAATTAAGATGTTCTCTCCTGATACAATCAATCCTGATACAATCAAGATGTTCTGTCTCAAGATGGTGGATCTGGGAACAGCTGAGGGTCTTGAACTAGAAAAGAGTGTTTTCCTGGATTCTCCTACAAATTCCTCCAGCTGTAAGCCTTCCAATCCTCCAAATTTACCTTCATATTTGTTTCAGAGTTCCAGCACCATCCTCTGCGCCTTCTTGGCCCAGTATTCCATGTTATTGTTGACGGAGCTCCTCATTGCACGTCTACCTGATCTGCCATCGTGATTGTCCATTACAAGACTAGATATGCACTAATTACAATTATACCATGTCATAAAGAATTTATATCTTTTCCTGAACTATTATTTTTCCTGAAGTTAATAATAGCCTGCTTTGTGGACACCTAGTCTGGCACTGTAGGATAAGCACAGGACTGCAGACCAATAGCTTTGCTCCTCAGAAATCCTGTACAGAGTCCCTATAAGTTGGAATAGACTTCACGTCAATTAACAGCAATCACCACCACTATTAAATATTTGTCTTGCTTTCCATGTCTTTATCACTGTGTTGACCTCAGTCTCAATCTCCTTTCCTATCAGTTTCATCTTCCTGAAAAACTCTGCTATGGAGCCTTTGCTGTACTACAGTGTATACTCCTGCTTTCATGTCTGATGCTCAGCTGTCATCCTGGTTTTGGCCCTTACTGTCATCCAGATGAGTCTCTGCACCTTGCTCTTTTTTCACATCTCAGATTCTAATCTCGTATCTTCTCCTTTTATAGTGATATTTTCATGTTGGTAGAGCAGATCCTCCAGTTATTGTCTCAACAAACGTTCATGGGAAGAAAATATTTGAGACTTCACTTGTTTGAAAGTGCTTTTCTTCTGCCGTTTTATGCTCACCCTTGATGATAGTATGGCTTGTTATTATTTCTTGATAAGAATTAATTTCCCTTCATGAGTTTGAAGGTATCACTCCATTCTCTTCTTGCTTTTAGTGATGCTATTGAGAAGTATAAAATGATTTATAATTCCAGACTCTAGTTTTTGACCTTCTCTCTTAGTTTTCTTCCATATTTTGAAGGTCCCTTGTCTTCTAATTTTAATGTTGTACCTTTGTGTAGGTTTACTTAAATCCATAGTGTTGGGAATTTCTTGGACCTTTTCAATCTGGAAGTCATGTTCTTTGGAGGCATTTTCCTAAACAATTTGATGATTTTCTTCCATTCATATTCTCTTTTTTCTCTTAGTTTTCTAGAACTGCTTTAACAAAATATTAAAAGTCAGATGACTTTACACAGAAATTTATTGTTTCGCAGTTTAGGAGGTTAGAATTCCAAATCAAAGTAATGACCAATCATGATTCTGTTTAATGGCTCAGAGAAAGAAACTTTTCCTTACTTTTCTCTAGCTTCTGGTGACTTCTGTAAATTCTTGGCATTCTGTGGTACCTCTGTGGTTTCTGCATATCCTATCTTACCATGTCTTTTTTTGTCTTTCATAATATAACACCCAGATGGCATTAGAGTCCGCTCTATGCTGATATGATGATAACTTTAAACATTCTATTTAAAAGTTACCTTCACGTATCTTTTTTTGTGAGGACAGTTTTTTTGTGTGTGAGGACACAATTCAACTCAACATTTCAGAACTCCTATTTTGCAGCTCTTAGGCTTCTTGAACTTTGCTCTTTTATTTTCTGCCTTTTTGTATTCTTGTTTTCTTTTCTGGGATACTTTCTAACATTTGTCTTCTAACCCTTAAATAAATGATTTCTATAGTCACATTTCTGATTTTCTATTCTACTCATCTTTCAGGAAAAGTTTTTGTTTATTCAGTGTTCTTTTTTTTTTTCTTTAAAAGTACCTATTTTTTTTCATGAATGCAGTATTTGCTCTTATATCTCTGAAGATATTAGCAATGATTAATTTTTTCCTCAGCTTTTTTTCTTCCTATCATGATTTCTGCTTCTACTAAGTCTTGATTTTGTTTGTTTCGATCTCTACTTTTCATAATAGAGGCTTTTCTTAGTGTCTAAAGAAAACATTAATTCTGAACATTTATAAGATTGTTATTGTTGCTGTTCAGTGCCATTGAGTCAGTTCCGGCCCACGGTAACCCTGTATAGGGTTTCCAAGGAATAACTGGTGAGCTTGAACTGCCGACTTTGCAGTTCAAACCGATTTTGCAGTCTAGCACGGATTAGATCACTGAAATGCTAATTGAAAACTCCGAGAGACAGAGGGATGGGGGCTTGGCTGCTATGAGTGTTGCTATAATGTGACCTGACTATACTGGTTACTATGTTAGGGATCTCTCAAAATATCTTTTCTTCTGAACTAGTCAGATTTCCCAGAAAACTCTCTATAACAGTCTTATGCTTGAAGGTCTGGTTGCCAATTTTCTTGGACTCTAATGAGATCTAGGGTCCTTTGCATCCAATAGTGTACATTCATGTACTCTCTCTAATTTCAGTTTTGTCACCCCAACAACAGTGCCTGGTATCCTCTTATCCAAATATGCTTTTGGTTACACTCTTCCTGAGAGAAAGTGTACTGTCTCAGTGGGATAGGAAGAATTGTAGCCAGATAGGAATCTAGATATTATTTCTAGCGTTCTTCTCCTATTACCTCTAGGGTCCCTGGTGGTACAGTGGTTAAGTGCTTGGTGACTAACAGAAATTCAGTGGTTCAAGCCCACCAGTGGCTCCATGGAAGAGTTTTGGGAATTTGTTTTTGTTTACAGGCAAATTCTACTTTGCCCTGTATGAGTTGGAATCATACTTGAAAGCAACATTTCTTTTTTGGAGTGTTGTATGTCATCAGGCTCATCAGGGGCTTGTGAAAAGTTTATCAAACTGGTTCTTCTTATTTCAGGTTTTGACTTTGGATTATTTTTTTTCTTGGGCTTCCTAAGTCATCTGTCTTTCAGCTTCTAAAGTATTGTTCATGTTGTTTCCTTTGATATTCCACCCATCTTTCAAGAGGAGTTAGAAGTAGATTTTATCAATTTCCACATTTCATAATGAATCATTAAAAAAATGAAACTTGAATATACAGGGAAATGAACTTCACTTTGTGTTTTGTCATTTGGTTGAATGAGAGTGTGTGAATCAGGATTAGATAGAAAAGATGATGGTTTTTATTTGTGTGTTTTATAATGAATGATTTTTTTTCCTTTTGTCTTTAAAGGTTGTGGTTCCAATTCCTTCATGGTTAACAAGAAGCAGAGAATATGTCACCAATGATCCCATAAAATTCTCAACAGAATTAGCTATAATTTATAAATACTCCCCATTTAAAACTGAAGCTGAATTGATGCAGCAGTTTGATATGATATATGGAAAATGTGGTAAGATCATCAAAATAGAAATTTTGATGGAAATACTTGTTTTCAATGTCTTGTAATACTATAAATATGTTTTCATATTTTTGTACTAATCTTTCATTCATAGTCTCATATGCAATCTCATGTGGAGCAGTAATTTATTCTTAAGAGTTTTTCTTAAAATAATCCAAACACGAATCACAGCAAGTCCCTAATAATGGGAGAAAGATGTATACTCTCATGAGTTTATTGAAACTGCATGGGAGGAGGGTGATATAGGCTATGACAAACAGGACTCTATAGCTATACCATATACAAAGTCTGAGACACTTGTTACAACATCTGCTACTAGGTGATACAAGGATGACAAGCATACTAATGACTAAAGTAAAGATCCAGGTCCCTGTGGTTGAGTGAACAAAGCTTTGTAAACATTCTTTTAAAATCAACAAATCTTTCTGCCATTCTTTTTACTTCCATCAATTTGTAGTCAACATTTGGAATACACTGTGTAGCTCTGGTAGCGTAGTGGTTACGAATCGGGCTGCGAACCTTAAGGTCAGCGGTTCGAAACTACCAGCCGCTCCGCGGGAGAAAGATGAGGCTTTCTACTCCCGTAAAGATTTACACCCTCGGAAACCCTGTACAGGGTCGCTATGGGTCGGACCTGACTCGATGGCACTTAACAACAACAACAACAACTGAAGTTTTCCAGTGCCAGTCTTTCTCCAGGCTTCCTTCTATCACTTCTCATATTTACAGTGAAAAACAACCCTGCACTGGAAAAAACTTATATCCATTTTTTTTTTATGTGTGGCTCCTTAATTCATATAATGTTTATAATTAATTTCTGAGAAATTCTTTATACTGCTTTAAAAATTCCTTCTTTAAGATTATTGATATTTTTGCCTTATTCATGGGCATTTTAAGGACACTTTGTATGCTAATACCAATGAAAAACTTACTCTAACTGCTTTATAAAAATGAACTCATTTAATTCTCATAACAATTCTATGGGATAGATACTTAATGAACTGCATTTTAAAGATGAGAAAATTAGGTTCAAGAAGGCCAGGACACTTGTCTGAGGTCACCGTACTAATAAATGATAGCTACAGTATTGGACATAAGCTACAGTATTGACCTCCAGAATCTAAATCATTAGCAACTGTGCTGTTCTATATTATGTTTACTAAGATTTTACTAAATCTTACTGTAATTTACTAAAAATTACAGAAAACATAATTACTTGTTTTAATTAATCATACAATCCTGTTTGTTCTCATCTCAGTAAATTTTGTAAAGAATCAGAACTTTTCATTATAAATGCATTAGAGTAGAGGCCAGTTCACTATGACCCATGGATCAAATCTGGCCCCAGTCTCTGTTTCTTTTAAGTGAAGTTTAATTATTATACAGCCATACTCATTCACTTATATATTTTCTATAACTGCATTCATTCTGTAACCACAGAAATAAGTATGAGTGATTATGACAGATACTACATGGCTTGCAAAACTTAAAATATTTACTCTTCACAGAAGAAAAAAAAAAATTCAACCTCTGCAGTAGAGTCTAGAAGTAGTACTTAGTATTTACACAAAAATGTTTAATTCATTTTTCTTCTATGCATTGATTTGAGTCCCATCAACGAGAGATATACCAATAATACACATTTGGTTGAGGCTTCTAACAGTTTTCATGATGAAAATCATGAATAGAATGCTGAAGATTAAGAATCCATTTTGAAACACTTAGAATGAATTGAGTAGAAGTAAGAATGTCCATGCTGTGTATATATACAGCACTCTTTGGCAGGAGTGAAACTTGCTATAAGAAACATATAAGGGGACTTGAAAAATTTGTTTTGCAAGACAATGGAATTTCCCACAAACTTTTAAAGTCCCCTTGTATGCCTTGGGACTTATCAAAACCTATTATTTATTGAAGCAAAAAAAGAAATTTTGTTACTCAATTTCATAAATGCTATAACAAGAATAACATTTATATATTTAAAATAATCACAAATCTCCTGTCTATATTCTTACCAGGTACATTGCTGGTTATTTACAACTTGAAGCTTCTGCTTAATGGGGAACCAGAACTGGATGTTAAAACTGACCAGGAAGATATTCTGGTAGCTGGGGCTACTGAGGAGTGAGTAATGTGTGTGTTTGATCAAATGTTTCTCAAGGAAACTGGAATTTGGAACCCCACATCCAATTCATTTTACTAAGTTACAAATTAAATTAGGTTAGTGGCTCCCATACCTACTTAAGTCTCAGATGACTTGATAAACTTCTTAAGAAGTATAGAATCCAGGACCTCATTCCCAGATCTACTGGATTAGAATCCCCAAGGATCAAGCCTAGTATTAATAGTTTTCAGATGTTCACCAGCTGTTTCAAAAGTGCCAACATGTTTGGGAACCAATGGAATTGAAAACTTCCAAGGTTGGTGGTTCAAGCTCACCACCGCTCCTCAGAAACCCTATACAGGGTCCTATGAGTCAGCAGTGATTTGACAGCACTTAACAACAACAATAACAAAGTTGTCTGAGTCTATAATCTTAATTTATGAATCTTAAAATGAAAGCAAACAAACACTGAGTTTATTATGCAGCAGGTCATTAAAATCATACATTAGTATAATATAAGAAATGTGACCAAATGACAACTTTATTATTATTTGCCTGTTGTTACTAAGTGCCATAGAGTCAGGTCTGACTTACAGTGACCCTTTATAGGGTTTCTAAGGAGAATTTGGTAGGTTTGAACTGCCAACCTTGTGGTTCGCAGTCCGATGCTGATCCTACAGTGCCACATGGTCTTACTGCATTGTTGTTGTTTTCCACTGAATTAATTCTAAGTCATAATGTCTACATGGCAGAATACATCTTACCCATAAATTGTCCTAGCGGTCTACATACAAGTTGCTCATGAGTAAACTTAAGTGTTTTGGAATTCCCGTTCTTCTCAATGTTACTCAAAGTTTGTTTGTTATAATCCATATAGTCAAATGCCATTGAAAAAGTCAATAATAAAATACAAGAAGACATCTTTCTGGTATTCTCCCCTTTGCGCTAAGATATATCAGAAATCAGCAATAATATCCCTCATTCTAAATCTTTTCACTCCAACTTGAATTTCTGACAGCTTCCTATTAATGTTTCTGCAGCCATTTAAAAATTATATTTAGCAGAATTTTAATCTATGTGATTTTAATGATATTGTTTGATAATTTCTGCAATCTCTTAGGTCACCTTTCTTTGGAATGGGAACAAATGTAGATCTTTCTCAGGTAATTATCTTCCAGATATCTTGGCAGTGACTAGTGAGTGCTTCCAGTACTGCAACAATTTGTTGATACATTTCAATTGATACTCCATCAATTCCTGAAGCCTTGTTTTATCCTGATGTCTTCAGTATAGCTTGGACTTCTTCCTTCAGTACCATTGGTTCTGGATTATATGCTATATCCTGAAATGCTTGAATGTCAACCAGTTCTTTTTTGGTACAGTGATTCTTTGTATTCCTTCCATCTTCTTTTGAGACTTCCTGCATCATTCATTACTTTGTCCATTGAATCCTTCAGTATTGAAAGTTGAAGCTTAAATGTTTTCTTCAGTCCTTTCAGCTTGAGAAATGCTGAGCATGTTTATCCTTTCATGTTTTGTAGCTTTAGGTTTTTGCACATTTCATTATAGTACTTGACTTTGTGTTCTTGAAATGTCTATTGAACTTTTCTGCTCAGCCCTTTGACCTAATTTTTTCAGTCACTTTAACTTCTCTATACCTAAGAGCAAGTTTTAGAGTTTCTTCTGATACCCACTTTGATCTCGCAGCCCTATGTGTAACCACTACACTACCAGAGCTCCTTAAGAGGTTGGTAGAATTCTTCAATTTCTTCATCACTGACTTTGGTAGCTGGTGCCTAAATTCGAATAATCATTGTATTAACTGGCCTTCTTACAGGCATATAAATATTATCCTATTACAGATCATTGAACTCCAAGTTGGATCTTGAAATATATATATTTTTTCTGATGACGATTCTTACACCATTTCTCTTGTATGGATTATTACCAGCATAGTAAACTATATGGTTTTCTGATTTTAAATGGCCAGTACCTGTGTATTTCAGTTCATTAGTACCAAGGATGCTGATCTTTACGTGTCTCATTACATTTTTAACAACTTGCTATTTTGTAAGATTCCATACATTCCACATTCCAGTTACTAATAGAGTTTGCAACTGTTTCTCCTCATTTTGAGTCATGCCCCATCAGTACATGAAGGTCCAAAAAGCGTTACTTCATCCACATCACGAAGGACAGCTCTACTTTGAAGAGGCACACCTTCTTCAGTAGTATTTTGAGTACCTTTCAACCTGAGTGAGGGACTCATCTTCCAACTCTATCAGACAATGCTCCACTGTTCCACACAATGTTTTCATGTGCATACCACTTAGAAATTGACCATCTTTTTTCTAATCTGTTCTTAGTTTGAAACCCTGCTGAAGCATGGATTACCTTGCTGGTATTTGAAACACTAGTGGCATAGCTTTCAGCATCACAGCAACGTGCAACCCACCAAAATACAGATGTGTGGGATATTAGGCTATTTGGAATCCATAAAAAAAAAAAAAAAAAAAGGAGTAATAAAGTATAGAGAAACAATGAAATGGCTTCTAAACATAGGGTTCTCTAAAATAATTGTGACATTTCTTAGTGTTAGAACTCCCGAGTTTTAAAGGTAATTGTGATAGTTAAGGTTTTGTGTCACCTTGACTGTGGCAGGATTCTCAGTGGTTTGGTAATTGAAATGTAGTCAACCCAAATGATGAGCTCTAATATACTATAGGAGTCCTGGTGTGGTGCTGTAGGACAAGCACTAGGCTGCAAGGTTGGATTGCAATGCAAGGTCAGTGGATCAAATTCATGAACTGCTCCTCAGAAACCCTATACAGGGTCATCATGAGTTGGAACTGATGGCACTTAACAACTACAACAACAATGTAATATAATCCTCCTATAATGAGGTCTGCTGTGAATAGTTAGCCAATGGAAAGGAAGTTTCCTTGGGGTGTGGCCTGCTTACAACATATTGGACACTTAGTGCTTCTACTCATGGGTGTATCATTCTCCTTCTGATTTCTCATAGCCTTCACCTTCCCACTTCTGTTCTGCTTACACATCTACCTATGTATGGTGTTATTAAGTGCTGTTGAGTTAGTTCTAACTCATAGGGACTCTGTATAGAGTTTGTGGGTTTGAACCATTGACCTTGTGGTTCAAACTGACTTTGTGGTCCAGTGCTTATCCTACAGCACCACATCAGGACTTCTTTACCTATGTATATGCTCACAGATATTGTTTGTTATTTCTAATTTTCCAAATTGTGTATGTAATAGTATTTACCTTTGTTGTCCACTCCTGTGGATCTCCCAGTGTCTTGAGACAAGGTGAGCTAGATAGTGTCCAGCTACCACTATTGACTGCTCTGATCAGTATCCCAATAGAAGATTCTGGACAAAAAGGGTGAAAATAAAGCAGATTAAAATTTAAAATTCTAAAAAATACCAGCCATATTGGTCTGATAGAAACTAGTGGAATCTCTAAGACCACAGTCTTTAAACACCCTTCAAGTCTGAAACTGATCAAATCCCTGGGGATCCACTTTCCTTCAAACAATTGACAGGCTTATAGAAGTAAAATGTGTGGAGTCCTTGTGTTGCTTTGTAGGATAAGCACTGGCCTGCTAATTACAAGGCTGGTAGTTCAAACTTACCAGCTGCACCTCAGAAATCTTATATAGGGTCGCTATGAGTTGGAACTGACTCGAAAGCACTTAACAACAACATAGAAGTAAAGAAAAAGGAGCACTGGTGGCATAGTGGGTTAAACAGTGAATTGGTAACTGCAAGGTCAGTGGTTCAAACCTACCAGCCCCTCTGTGGGATAAAGATAAGTCTATCTGCTTCCAAGGGAGAAAGATGAAGCTTTTTGTTTTCATAGAGATTATCAGCCTTGGAAACTCTATACAGATTCATTAAGAGTTAGACTTGCCTCTATGGCACTTATAACAGACTATAAGTTTAGTGCATAATAACACCAGAAACGAATGTGCTATGCAGTACAATGAACCATATGAGACTAAAAGGACAGCATGAACCATAAAACAAGCTCAGAAGGCAGGAAGAAGCAGGAGAGAAGAATTCATGGAACTGGGAAACCCAGAGAGGACATGAATGAGTACTGTTACATTAAAGGGATTGCAACTATGCTCACAGAATAAATTAGTTTTTTTCAGTAAACTTTCACCTAAAATGCAATAAAAAAAAACTATAATAAAAAGAAAAACAAATTAGGTAAGTCAGACTAAGATGCATAAGGAGTCCTGGTGTGACACTGGACTGCTAACTGCAAGGTCGCAGTTCAATCCCACCAGCTGCACTGTGGGAGAAAGATGAGGCTTTCTGCTCCCGCAAGAGTTACAGCTGCAGAAATCCTATACTCGGTAAGTTTAGTGCAATAAAAGGTTTGAAGCCTTGCCAGTGATTTAAAAGTTGCATGTGCAGTAAATGAGGGTGAGTGCGATGATGAATTTGTTGTGAATGGGGTTTGGTTCAAAATGAGGGCAAATTTCAGTAACATTAAAGAACAAATAAGAGTTGTCCATATGTCATACATACATAACCTGGGGGCTGTCTGCATTTATAGAGGAATAATTTGTTAGCTAGATTTTCGGCAGAAATAATCTTACTATTTTCAGATTATTTAGTTATGCCAGAAGGTTTTAAAGTAATTTAAGTAGTTAATTAAAATAATTTTTAAAACTATATCACAGATCAGTGTTATATAGTTTCACTTAGAAATAAATGTAGACTGTATTGGATTTGTTTGATTTCCAGCAAAGTTTTTCATTGTTTAAACACAAGAAAATTCTTGATAAAGCAAGGATGGGATTTTATGAGGAAGGATTATTATAGAGAAGAGACATAATTTCTGTACTGAACTATAGGATAAGCACTGGACTATAAGGTTGGCTTGAACCTCAAGGTGGACAGTTCAAACCCACAAGTCACTCCTCAGAAACCCTATGTATGGTCACTGTGAGTTGGAATCAACACGATGGCACTTAACAATAATGTGTTGG